CCAGCTGAATTATCTTTGTTCAGATAATCATCTGATCTGGATAGAGAGGACAGGTTCAAATCTACTGCTCGATTGTGAGTAGATCTGAGCAGTGTTTTTTGTGCACTGTGATTTCACGCTGTTTACCGGTGCAGAGTTGTCCTGGTTCTGTCGAGAGCGAACCATCCTGCCCAGAACTTCCATCCCATCTGTGCTGATGTTTCCTGCAGCGTTGATCGACTTCTCTGTCACCATTTTGCAGTCGATGAACACCTTGGCACTCGTCTTGCTGATTGCAATGTGCAGCTGCAGTGGAAAAAAAGTAAATAAAACAGAGCTTCATTAAGTGTTTAAAATAGTTTTAGAGCATCTAACACAAATACTACAATGAACCACAATTTTATACCATAATTATTAATTATTATATCTGCAAGATCAACTAATTTCAGGGTTTTGAGCAGCAATAAAATAGTATAAGATAAAACTTTAGGTAGGGGTTATATGGCAAAAGGAAAATTCAGCAGTTTATGTAGCAAAAGAGCTCCCTCTGCCTGTGTGCAGCTGTAAATGCAGCCTTTCTCTTCTTTCAGCTAATAGAGGAACACCAATATAAGATCTCTTTGCATGGAATGAAAATATCTGATTTTTAAGAGCAGATACTATTTAGATCAAAAACTAAATCTTTTTATGACGCCAGAATCCAGACAAGATGTGAATTTGGATTTAAGATTAAAAGGGTCTGTGCATGGCTTTGAAATTATATCTAGCAAAATGAATGAATTACTTGATGTTTTAAAGAATACATTAAACACTAAATGGAAAAAAAAAAAAACAGAATGGATATTAGATGTAGAGAAAGAGATTGGCTAATGGAAAAAAAATTAAATCACTCATGGTCCCTCTTTCCTCCCAATAGATGCTACACAGTATACATATTTATGGATGTCGTGCAAATGGCCTGAGTCCATTAGAGGAACACTCATCTGCAGTGAACAACCCCCACCCCTCCAGAAAACCACAGCGTAGAACACAACATTTGTTAGAACGGAAAAACATATGAAAGAATCTGAAGAGCTGTCCTCTTCAGAAGGAAACTTATATTAGCCTTTTTCAACATATCTGTCCCAAAATAAAACTAGGCCCATATTAAGAACTGATATCTATTTTTATCTTGTTGTCACTAATGTGGGGAGGGGAGCAGACAGGTCATGGTGTGTGGTAGTGATAGTGATGGTGAATATTAATGTGGACAGAGAAGCATTGTAGTGATGTAACATTGATCAATATCAGTTATTAACCAATAACAGCAATACTAATATCTTCCCATAATCTTTCGCAGAGGTTCAATCAAATCCAATCCACTTTATTTATATAGCACGGTTTAAATAAACACAAGGTTTCCAAAGTGCTGCACAAAAAGATAAAATAACAAGGTTGTCGATATTGGAAGGCCTTCCACCTGGCCTTCCAAATGTTACCAGCATATTTTTGGGGGAATGAAAGAGCTCTAACTACTTGCTCTAATAATACGCTCCGTTTAAAATGACACATGCAGGTGTTGTTCTTAGCAACACAGACGTTTGAGTGCTGAACTGAGAGTTAGAAATGTGACACCTTGCCAAGCTGCTGTGAGTTATTCTGTTTAATTGATGTCAAACACCCACTAATGTAATCCTGTTCAGCTCTTATAAAATGAAATGAGAACTTAAAAGGTCATGAGAGTAAAAAAATATAAAAACTTGAAAGTTAACATAATGCAATGTTATGTATTGTAGGTGTCCATTAACTGTATTCACTGTGAATTGTATATATATATATA